CTCTTGAAGGACGCCCAATGGACTTGGTTTATTTCTGTGTGTGTTATTTTGTCTTTAGCTTTATTTTCGGTAGTACTTTGTATAAAAGACATTTCATTTTAATTTCTACTTGATATGATATTGTTTTAAGTTAATATATGGGTCTGTAAAATATTATTTATCGTTTAATCCCTTTAAAAACTGCTTGAAGAAAGGAGCTGTATGTTTATGTACTTATGTCTTAATATATTAGTTCTTTATGCAATTTGTTTAGTATGCACATACTCTATTTTAATTAAATTAATTTTTTAACAAATCATTTTTTTAAGTGAACGTCAGACGAAATGGAGTTGAAGTAAAAGGACGATGCAAGAGAATAAAGTGACCTCAACGAGGTCCTGCTCCTCCTTTTCCATTTCCCATTTTCGTTTCCTCCACCTCTCTATTTCGGTATGCCATAAATTTGATGCTATTTTTATTGTCATTTCCATGGCGAGGCAGAATGTTTGTTTAATTTTAAATGCCGAACGAAGGACTTCCCTGTTCTGTTGGGCCGCCGCTACAACCCCAACAATTAAATACAATTTCGAAAATCCCGAAAAGTGCGTCGTTGTCACAGCAAGAAAATAAACAAGAGCCCGGCAAAAAACCAGCAAACGAAGAGATAAATCATGCACAGTTCTCGAACGAATTCTATTTATCAAGCTCTGCGGAATTCTTTGCGGAGGATAATTTGGAAAACGGGGCTGGGAGAACCGGAAATATATATATTTTTAAATTTGCAAGGAAATTCGGTTTTTGGCAACGAAAACGGTTGGCTTTGCTGAGCATCTCACATTTTTATGGATGCCGGAAGTGGAAAGTCATCTTCGAATGTTTAGAAAATCAAATAGGTCTCAACTGATTTTAAATATACAGAAATTATATTATGAAATGTATCCAAATTGAATCACATAATTTCCCGTCATTTTATTCACAAAACCCCATTACATTAGCTGAAAGCAATGAAAGCTTTTCGTCGGGAGCGGGAAAGACAACATTTCCTTTTGCGGCTGGCCAAATATTTGCATTAAATTTGGCCAAGTGGCAACGTTTATTCTGCTATTATATATTTTTTCTGTTCTGGCGGTTTTACTTGCTTTCAATTGCGTTTTTTACCCATTTTTTACCCCTTTTTTTTTTGTGCGCCACGGCACTTGATTTTCTCATTCTCTATTTCCTCTTCATTTTTCTTCGGTCAGAGTGTGTGTGTGGGGGGTATTTTTTTTAGTTGTACAACAATTTCTTTGTTTGCTCTGTGCTTTCGTGGCGAGTTAATTTTGCATTTCCGCTCATTTAACTGCATTTCCACCGCTTTCCACTGGTTGCCATGGGCCGGGCTCAAAGTGCCGTGAAGTTGTTTTGGCCGCAGGAAGTTCATTTGTAGAACAGGCAACAGAAGCGAAAGTCATATGAATTTCCCGACCACAGCAGGCTATGAATTGCCACTCGGAAGTAGCAAAAAGATTTCCACACTGAATGACAGGAACAGTCAGAAGAGCTTACAGAAATATATATATTTTATAAGGCGAAATGGAACCAGCGGCCCGAAAACGAAAAACTCTGGTCAGCCAGGATAATGTAAGTAGATCTCTAACGAAAAAAACATCCACCAAAAACTAATTATAATCCCCGTAGAAACCTGTGACCAAAAGAACTTGCACCTTGCCAAAAAAACCAGCACCCTTTTCCCTACTTCAAACAGTTAAGAAACCCCTCAAAAAGTTCTCTTCAGATCTTTCGAATCTGCCAGAAATTCCCGCAGTCGATGCTTTTGAGCGAGGATATCAAGTAGAATGAATTTTGGATATGGTACAAAACATCTACAAGGAGCAGTTTCTCCTTATAAAATTCAAGGATCTTTATGAACCTGAAATGGTTCCTTTGGATCTCGCCTTGGAACATGTCCCTCACCTGCTTTCCGCTTTCTACCAGGAATATGTCCAGGCCTGGCAGAAACTGGAACAGCAGCAGAAGGACGTTTCCAACTAAATTTAAGGCTGAAACTGAAGACTTTTGGTGAAGTGCGAAACTGCCACGCGTTTATGGCGCATCTTTTTGTGCAGTCCCGCGTCGAGTTTTAAATAATTTTATGCCTATTTGCCTCGTGCAGCTCGCAAAATTTCACACCTCAGCCATCAAAAGTTGGGGCGGACGTGCGTGCCAGAAGTTTCTGCCATACGCAAATAAAGGATACCGAAAGGATACAGAAAATGTTTGAGCATGGGCTTATAGGGAACTTTTTATATGGGGGTTTTGAGGAAAGGGTTGGGAACTTTTACAACAAAAAGTCATTTTTAATTATTGGTGGTATTATTTTATTGCCTTTAAGAAGTAGTTATAATGCATAGAGAACAATATTGACAAGTTATGAAGATAATTTTTAAGAAATTTAGTATCAATTCGATATAGATCTTAGAAAAGGGAGGTTTCGATTTAAAATACTCGCTTTCTTGTCTTTTGCTTTATTTTTATATTACCTAGAATTTTAAATATTGCTGTCTGGTTTTTAACCACAGTAATTTAAGGAGCTATCTTGTTCGAGTCTCAGCTTTTCGGCTTTAGAGCATTTTCAAATACGAAAAAATTACACTTCATAAATGTACCACCCCTGTGTTTCATTTTCTTTTTTGCTTGTCAATCCGTAACACTTTTTGTTAATTTTTTCATAGCTTGACCAGAAAAGTAGGTTTATTTTTTATATATTTGAAAATCCCTTTGTCCACGCCCCTGCCCAGCCTCATAAAAATTATATGTCAAGCGCAAAATCTCGGGCAAAGCGAGTTGGCGAGAAAAATTGCTTAAAGATGCAGGATACAAAAAGCTCGGTGAATATTTCGTGGAGAAGGGCAAACTGATTCTATTCGCGTGAACCAGAGTGAGGATGTGAATGTGGAGTGAATGTGCACTGGATGTGGATGAAAGTGCGAACGTGAATTTGAAACGATGTGCATGCGAGGAATTCGATTATTTAATATCTGAATTTGATTCAGCATCTCGGGTCCCAAGTTTTGGAGTCTTTGGCAGCAGGTGCACTTCCCCTTTTCCGGAGACTTTACGACGTCCGACCATCTGTGCAACTGCATCTGCATTTTTATGGGCGTGCGGGTGTGCAGTATATTTGTTTAACTTATGTGTGTCGGATCCCGTTCATTGCACCACCCTCTGTTTTGGCCACCACTTTCACTGCCACCCTTTTTGGCCCTAAGCCTGCTTTGCCTTTCGCCGCCCCTGCAGCAGCCAGCTGTTGACTTTTATTGTGGCTTGACATTAATTTGTTAAGTGCACCATGGCTGCCTGCCCCCGAAGCTGGTGCCTCCACGCCCACAGAAAACCTTGTAAGAGTCAACTGGGGGGCGTGGGAAACTTTGAGGTGAGAAACTTGTCTGTCGGCAACATCTTTGCACTGATGAAATTCTAATATTGGAATGTAGCTGGGCAACACGGTCGAAATATTTTTGGATCACCGAAATTTAAATGAAGCTAGATCGTAAAATAAATCTGCAATACCTAGTTCTTATTATTATTCTCGGATGACGAATGATTTTAATATAGGGTTCATAAAAAACTACTTATTAACAATGTCTTTAAGTACGCAATTATATAGAAAAGCTAAAAATGTTCCCAGGGTACTTTTTGTTTTTGTAAGGAGTATCTAAAAAGATAAGATTTTATACATATGAAATATTTTTTACATTATATAAATCGTAAAGATCGGATTCCATCCAAAATCCTATATTTTCCGTACACTTTCCTTCCTCTCCCTTTTAGGGTTAACCGGGTTTTTTTTGGCAACAGTTGCCAAAATCGAAATCGAAGCTGGACTAGCGGCCAGAAGACTTGGCCTTGTTGCTTTTAATTATGCCCAATGCACTGTGAAAATGGTTAAAAGTGCAAATTATGCGCCGCAAAATGCAGCGGTTGCAGAATGGTACCCCATAATTTATGAGCCACCATGCGTTCAATTTCTGCATCACTTCCGTTTCCGCTCCCCGTTTCCAATTCCAATTCCCCTCGCCGACTATCCCATTATGTTGTTGAACATTCGGTTTGGTGTCACCGACGCTGCGATGTTGTCTGTTGATACAAGTCGCCTGATATGCGTAATCACGGAAACAGATACACTCCCAGGCAAGCTCATAAGATGGGATCGTGATTGGAGTCGTGAGTGGCTTAAGATAGCGTAATAAACAAAGGGAAGTGTTAAAAAAATGGTTCAATACCTACTATCGCTTTTAAATTAATAGCTAAGAGGACATGCACAAAATATCATGTTTTCTAAGTGATTTGAATAGTTAGAATAGTTTTTATAGATAGTAATTATATTTTATTAAAATTAAAAACAAAGCCACCAAATTAAAAATTTTATTGTATTTAATAGGAATACAATTTTGAACAATTTATCAGTAAAATAGTATAATTGTTTTCGTTTTTTGAAAGTTAAAAAATTATTAAAAATGCAATTTAGTTCCATATGTATAGTAGTTAAATTTTTGTTTCTATAAGGCAACTCACGCAGTAATATCCGCACACCATCTAAGCGAATTACACCCGAGCTACCCACACGCACATGGCAACTCATAGTCGGATGCACACAATATTTGTTTAATTAGCCCGTATTAATGTCGCTGCAAGAGCAAACAGAGGTGGCAGCTCATTATGAGAGACGCCAAAGAGCCAATCGGCATTGTTATTGGCCATTGTAGTCGGGCTGGCCACTAAACAAACCGAGCCGAAGCTTTCACCTCCCGTGCATTTCCCCATTCCTGACCTGACCCACTGTTCGATTTTCATTTTCATCGCCTATTGATTCAGAAACCATTTGCCTCCGCCCACAATAAATCCGCTTGTGAATTCAATTGTGGCGTTTATAATATTGTGCAACGACTGCCAGCCGACAACTCTCTGGTTGTTTAATGATGTGATTTCTGTTTTTGTGCTCTGGGGGATTATGACGAGCTCAAAGGTTGAGAGGAATTCACTCTGAGAAACATTTCAGATCGCCCAGTAAACTTCGTTCAAGCTGCCTGTTCGTTCACATCGTTAACTCACCGTTCCAAACACACAACGTTCACAGTCCAAATGGCCTGCAAAAAGAAGACCAAGTTGTGGGACTCAATGGCCAAGGATGAGATGAAGACCACCACACAGGCGATGCTCGAGGAGGGCGCCAAGGGGCTAAGGACGATTTCCACGCAGGAGAAAAAGCTGGTCAACTTTCAGTCATTCAATATGGATGAGTGAGTGGAAAATTATCCTGTTTAGGGAAATAAGAGGGGTCCTTGTGGGTAGTAAAAGCCATTAAGTAGTCTAGCTCAAATTTGACTGTTCTGATATCGGAATAATGACTTCGTTCAATTAAAAAGAAATCTAAGTGATATTGACATGCTGAAAAATCATACATCATGAATAATTGAATCATTGAATCATTGAATCATTGAATCATTGAATCATTGAATCATTGAATCATTGAATCATTGAATCATTGAATCATTGAATCATTGAATCATTGAATCATTGAATCATTGAATCATTGAATCATTGAATCATTGAATCATTGAATCATTGAATCATTGGTAACTTGTCACTAGTAACTAAAAATACCTATTTTCCTCAGTCCCCGCTATGGATCTTCCGATATCGATGACATTATGGAACCCCCAATGCTGTCCAGTTACACACGACAATATTCCCAGCCGTATCCGAATCGTTGTAAGCCACTCGTTCCAAAAACCGAATCTCCAGATCCGTTATTTAATCGCAAACCTAAAAACGATTTTGAGTTCACAACGGGCCTGGATTTTAAGTTCCTCGACGATCATATGCACAATCTTTCCGAAACTCGCAAGAAAGTCAACTTCTTTAGGCAGTTGAGGTGAGACCTGCTATTCTAACAAATTCCTCAATAACAAATTATTTTAATGTCCAGGAATCAATCTTTTCTTCTGTACTAACATGCAATGTTCCGAGTTGAAATGTCAAATTAAAAACTGCTAATTAATGCACTTCAACCCACTCGGTGTAGGACGTAAACAATTTGTTACAATTTGACCCCTTCAACGCCGGAGTCACGCAACATGGCTCTTATTTTAAAAGCTTTCAATTGTGCCATGATTATAAATTACCCCTCATTATGTTCCGAGAAAAATTTGTCAATTGCATTTTCCGTTGGCCCCATCGCTTTCAATAGAAATCAATTAATTTTGCATAAATAAACCGGATTGTCAGCGTGGTCAGGGGACCAAGCACCATGTGCTTGAGTATTATTAGGTTAAAGCTGGTACACTTTTCTTGGAAAAAATAGCAAACAAATTGCAATTAATAATGCAGAAGGCAGCGAGCCAGCCAGCCAGGTCGCTATATCGCCCCGGGCACTGGCATTGCTGCCAATTTGCATAAATGCTAGAAGAACTCTCTCGGTGGCCAGTGTCCAGTGGCCAATGGGCAATCGGTCGGCAGGGTGGTGTCAAACTAATGGCAGACTATGACAGGGATCTGATTTATTATGCACGGTAATTAGTTTGGCCTCCTTAGCGTCCAAATGGAAGCCAATAAACCAGGCTGTCATGCCGCTGCATTGATTTTGGCCCGAGGAAAGCGCGCAAAAGCGATGGATTTCCTTCGTCTACCGCCGCGAGCATCGCTTCCATGGAGTGCGATGGCATGGCTATGGCTATGGCTACGGTCAAAACAGAACACTCTCCGGCTGGCAGGAGCATGAAAGTCGGAATGAATGTTCCGAGGTGACAGCCCATCCGGCGGAGGAAGGAGCAGGACTGGCTGGGGCCCGGACATTGTGACTGCACAGAACATCACTCGGACACGTTGTCCTTGCGCTGCAGCTCTTCATCAGGATCCCAGTGAGGTGGAGCAGTTGAAAGGGGCATTTGTGATTTGCTGGGTTCGAACGGAAAGGCATCAAAATCTGTCTACAGCTTTATCAAATTATATTCGAAATTATTCTGCAAACTTTAATTAAAATTATTATGTAATAAAAGGGTTTTTATACTATATTTTGAATTAATCAGGGTCTGTAAATAATAATTTTGGATATGCTCTTTTAATCAAGAAATCAATTGACACTAAAAGAAATGATTTATGCTAAATAATGTTGCTGAAAAATAACGATTATTTTTGTTTTTTATAAGAAAGGGAGTTTATCGGAAGAAATAAAGCTCAATAATGATTATGGTTTTTTTAATGATAATTTGTTTTTGCCAAATAAAAACTCCCTTTGAAACGTCGGCGACTCTTTGTAGATTTTTAAAATTTTTTTTGCAGTGATATACAATACTTGTAGAACGATATCAAGGGTACCAGATATAGAAAAAAGGGTTATTTAATTCGTATAACATGCAAGGATATTATTATACGTTCAGTGGGATTCATGGGGTGGGAAATTTAAGTCTATGGGATACCATCCTCGGCGCTGATACCTAAAAATATTGCTGCCTGTTTGATAATATCAAATTAAATTAATAATATTATTATTATCAAATTGATATTATGAACGAGTTCCAAACGCAACAGTTGTTGTATTTATATTAAATCTAGAGTACGTTGAATTACCACTCAAGCTAAAATCTTTATTTATAGAAATAATTGCCTATGAAGCCAAGCAAGAGACCTGTGACCATGTCACTTGACTGTTGGCTTGTCTGTCAGTAGAGTGACTTTCTGGAAATCATCCCGCTCTCCGATAAAAAAATCAGTTCTCCGCAGTGGTAAGTGACTTGGTTTTATCATCGCTTTTGGTGCAAACAAAAACCAGCTTGGCGACGTTGTTTGCTCGACATTTTGGCACATTCCTGCCAGACGCCTGCCCACATTCGTCAGCCCGAAGGACGAGACAGCCGGGGCAAGGATGCGGGAAGGGGGCGGCAGTCTGTGAGGCCGATAAGAGCCGTAACCCCCCCCACCCAACACGCATCACTGATAAGGATAAGAGCTGACTTTCACCACACGGCACATGGGTCCTTTCACCAACGAGTGGTGTAGGAAGCCACCACACATTAAACTCACCACACACCAACGAAAGCCGGCTCTCTTTTGTGCGACTGCGTCGGGTCACTCGGCTTATCCTTCGGCTGTGATAAGACCCAGCTTCGTGCGACGGCCGAAGCCCCCGTTCGGGTCACCTGCTGGCGGCACTCGGGGCCACCAGTCAGTTCACTCGGGAGCGTGGCGGAGTTCGTTTAGCGGCGGGCCAACGGTGCGGATACTTGACTTGGGCCTGGGCCGAGCTGCCAACTTAATGTGTGAGGTGTGCGAATCTCGGCAATCTCGAATCTCAAATCTCGGGTGATATCCATCAGGCAAGCGGCAGTCCTACCAAAGATCAAAAGTTCCGAAACACCCCAAAAAGTGTAAAGTGAAGGCGGCTGAAACACAAATAAAAAATTAAAACAAAGAAAGAGAAAAAAACAGGCAACAAAAACCCGTGCTCGTGTGTGCGCGTGCATGTGTAATTAATTTTTGGCATTTAAATTGGCCAACACCGGGGCTTTAAATCAATTTGACAAATTTGCATTTTTCTGTTGGGACCCAATCAAAAAAAAAAAGGGAAGCCCGAGCCGAGGCAATTTCATTTACAAATTACAAATTGATGTGCCCGAAATACAGCAGCAATCAGGGGTCGTCAAAAGAGGATGAAGGATAATGGGGGGGAAGCCTGCCAAATGTCCTTACAGCGGCTCCTTTATTCCTTTTCACTGAAATCGTTTGTCTGATAGGCAGCAACGTGTTCGGTTCGGCGGATTAAGTGGATTATGGGGGTCGCCTTAAGGATTAGTTCCTTGAAAATGTTCAGGCCATCAATCGGCGGGGTGTTCTTGTCAAGGCATCTTTTAAATTCGGCTTCCATTTTCATGGGCCTTTTGATGCTTAACAAGTGGAGCCAATACAGTGTTCATGTCCTACATTATGAGATTAGCCGTTTTAGAAGTGATTTGCGGCACTTGGGAATTTGTTGGAGTTATTATTATTCTTTTAAGCAATTTTTTTCAAAGCGTTTCCTTTTTTTAATTTTTATCCTGGAAAAATGTAAATATTAAGAAAAAAAACTTAACTTTAATAATTCCTAAAATTATTTTAATCCTGAAAAAATGTAAATATTAAAAAAAAAACTTAGCTTTAATAGTTAAAAAAAAATATTTTTTTTATTTTTGCAGTCTGTTCTGTTATAAGTTGTTTAAATTGGGTTTCCTAGCAATTATAACAATCTCTTTCTTTATCATTATATCCTTTTTTCTTTTTTATTTCAAATTTTGCTCTTGTAACTCTTTTATAGTCCTGGGTAATTTCATGTTTTGCATACCAGCTGGCCAACATTAAAAATTTCATACCTGATTTAAATACTTTTCTTTCCGCATAATATTACCCATTTTCTGTATTTTGCTTGATGTGGTGCAAAGAAATCTCGCATTTACACTTTAACGAAGGACGCTGAAAACAGGAAAATGGAAAATGGAAAACCGGGGGAAGCGGAGTGGCAGCAAGGAGTAATAATAATAAGAACAAAATAAAAGAAATGAGCTGAAGAAAAATGTCTGAAACGTGCCTCGTATGCAAATATTTGCAAAACGCAGACTAATAAGTGGAAGAAAAGCCAGGCGACAAAAGTGGCCGGAGACAAAGGGCCAGGTCAGGAAGGAGAAACTCGGGGAAAGTCTAGGTGTCGGTGTGCCCAGGAGCATCATTCTTCACCCATTCATATTTAAAACCTATCTTTGCATCTGGCAAAAATATGCTACTTTTTTCATAAATTAAAGAATCATTTCTCCCTCATTTATAACAATAACAGAAGTCTGTCGACGACCCCGACACTTCTAAAAAAAAAGTTCATGTGCTCTCGCCCTGAAATGGGAAAAATGAAATAAATTTCATTGCATAATTCATGGGCCACCAGGGATCTGGGGAGGGGTGGTGAGGGGTAAGGGGCAAGACAGCCCAACCGCTTGCCATTTTGTATGGTCATAAATCTTTTCGCATATGGGCTGCCATTTCCCATCATCATCAACAGCGGGAAAGGAATGTGAAATCCCCAAAAAGCACACATGAAAAATATTTTAAAAATTAAATTTTTATTGTTCTCTCTTATCGTTAGCCCAAATGCCCATAAACAATTCATCAGAAAGCGAGCAAACAAACGAAAGCAAACAACAGATATTGTTTACAATTGCCTAAAAGGGCAGGAGACAAGCAAATAAAATAGTTTTGCAAATTCATTCCATGACAAGTGGCTAAAACAATAAGCACAAAACGTTTTAAAACTCTATCTCGAAATACAAACAATGAACGGCAGCAGCAACAGCAGCAGCAGCGGCAATATCAACGGCAGCAACAGCAGCAACACCAAGTGCAACAGCAACATCATGGCAACAATATCAACATCGTCAGCAGCAGCAGGTCCAGTCACTCGGTCATCAACGGAAACAACAACCATGTTCTATGGCTAATACAAAAGCTACAAACAACAAATCGCCAACAACAACTAAGCCAAAAGTTCGCCAAAGCATTTGATGCTAAAACAACAAAGGAGAAAACAACAGCAGCAGCAGCCACATCAACATTGGCAACACTTTTACGAGTTGCCAACTACCTTGTCCAACGAATTTTTATTATTGCACAAGGTAAGCGCCGGCTTTCCTCCTGCTTTTTTTATATTTTATTTAGAGTTTACTGTAGGGGGCGGCAAATTCATGTCCTCGGTCACCTTTGGCTGGCAAATCGAGCAGCAAAATTTAATGGTGGCTACTACATTTTAACAGGGATTGTCAGAACCTGACCTATCGCAATTTCAGATGAGTTGAGAGTGCAAAGAAAGTTTTTCGTTTTGGCAAACAATTTTGGTGAAGGAATGGGGCAGATGGGATTACCTTCGAACAAAAATGACAATAAAAAGTAATGACTTTACTTGTACATTTTTAATGAGGATTTTTGCTACTAAAGCTTTAAGTATCATCCGTTAAAAATGTTTATTCTTGTAACTGTTATTATGACTCTAAAAGATAAAAATATTGAGTTTACGGGTGATCATCTTTGAATACCAATAGTATTTACGTTTTCCAACTTAGTATTTCAAAGAAAAAAATTTAACTCAAGAATAACATGTGAAATATTATACTTCTATGTTCTCAGGATCGCTATTTTTATATAAAGAGATATATTTAAGTAAACATTTTTTTTATAGCACTTTTTTTTTAGTATTTCTAAAAATTATTTTTCTTTGTGTATTTTATTATATACTTTTTAAGACAACTGTTAACTCCACAGATAAAATTTTGTGAATATTCATCACTGAGCAGTTTTACTATATAAAACATTTGCTGCACTAGATAGTACGTATTTATTAAATATTTATTTCAAATGAATTCGAAAAATGTAAAGCCTCTTAAAGCTGGTGAATTGACCCAAAAACATTAAAGGGGGTTGAGCTATATGGTTTCTTAGGGGGAAAATGATAAGTCCCTGCCCTGAAGCCATTATCCCAAGCCATTGGCCACCCCTGACTTGTCGACCTCCTTATTATGTGCCCCAAACTTGCGGCCAGAGAAAGTGCTTTCGCCGCAGAATATTGGCCAGGCAATTCACTCTCTCGCAGCTCAATTAGCCCCCCCATCCGCTGTGTGTGGCTGGGATCCGGGGAATCCCCGTAATTAAATGCAAGCCACATGCTTGGCTGACTAACCCACATCCTGCTGCAGCACCACCACCACCACCACATTTCACTCGAACTCAAGCACTTGTCCGACATACATACATCATCTCGCAGAGGCGGTGAAAAATCGAAAAGAAAGCGATGACAGGCGGGCGAGTGGAAAAAGTTGTTCAAGTTACTACTGAAAATGCTTTTCAGCTGCCGCATGGAAATCCCTTTTTAATTTTTCATGGCTGCCTCGCTCAAAGTCAAAGCAAACACGAGACCGAAGCGAAAGTCAGAGGATGGGGTGGCTGTGCAATGCATATGCATATACTGTAAGTCATACTTAACCCATCGCAAACACATTTCCCGGCACTCAACTTGGATTTTGACTATGCTCATCTTTCATCTCGTGTCCAAAATTCAAAATTCCCATACGCTAAGCGTGAAAAATGGCTCGAGATGGACGAAAGGCAAAAGTATATACTTCCCCCTACGCCGCTGACCTGCCAGCCGATCAAATATTTGCATAGTAAATGGTTTTTATTATTAACTGTGTAAACCTCCATCTCGGAGGCTCCATCTTTGCAGGCGCCTTCTGTTTTTGTTCCGCTGGTGTCCAATTTTCATAAAAACGCCGTAACAAAGTTGTTAAAATATTTGCCCAACTCTCTCTAAGTGGCCTGCTTAGCCTGTGTTGGTGGGTCAGCATTCTGGGCCCACACGGCGTATGCGTTATACACAGGAATCAATTAAATCATCTGCATGCTTTTAATTAAAATTCTCGTTGAGTTACATAATTGAGTCAGCCCATTTGTTTGGTTTTTTTCCTTGGGCATGTTCGGCTTATGTGAGAAATGAGAAAAACTTTACAGAGGTGCTATTAATTTAAAAAAGTGAATAATTAAAAAGTTTTTTAATTACCTTCATTGCGGAATTTATTAAAGGAACATAAATCTTTACTCGTATAAATTTATTATTTATTAATTTTATGAGAAATATTTGTTGTACTAATTATTTTATTAGTTTGCTTTTGTTGCTATTTTTGCAAGTCAATTGTAATTTTACAAATTATTTTTAGTTAAAATTTTCTAGAAATGAAATAGTTTAAAAAATAAACACGTTTTAATAAGAAGTTTATCACAAAAATGAACACAAGTTCAACTATACAGAACTATTGCTAGGAAATTTATAAACTTCCCTTAAATTTATTACTACTGGGTAGCAGACAGTCGTTAATTTCTTCTTCAAGCCATCAAAGTTAACACGCTTTTGCCCACTTTTATGCCCTGCCCTTTGCGGCCAACCGTTTTCCCCATTTTCCGACAGCCATGCACAACACTCACGTAAATAAAGCGCGAAATTTAAAGCTTGAATCTCATTAAAATGGTTTTATTGCCAAGGCAAATGGCGCCAGGGAAAGGGCTGAAATGCCGGGTATGGGATGCGAGATGCTTCCATTCCGCTACACATTTATTTTTCACCCATCCATAGTTTCATTCCAATGGAGTCGGCGCTGCGGGTGTCAATTTCATTGCACGCTGCTCACTTTGAAGTTGGCCAAAAAGGGGAAAGGGAAAAAAAGGGGAAAAATCGGGTGAAAATCGGGGGAGATACAGTTGCCTTAGCACAATTGAAATCGATAGCAGAAGAGTGAAAAACTACGGGGCGTGTTGGAAAAACCGCTCAAACTCAATTTGGAGCCGTCCATATATTTTCCCTTGTCCCTTTTTGGTTACCCATTTTCCGGAGTGGGGGAACCAATAATTTTCATTCCAACTTGGCATTTTTTGGCGGTTGCCAGACGCAGCACAAGCAGATGACTTCTTGGTAGGGGCTTTGGGGGAAGGGGAGAATTTTCCAAAGGCTTTCCACCAGGCTGTGAGAGAAAAACCGTTTAAGTGGAAAATTACACTAAAATAGACACAAAATGCTATTTGTGGGTGACTGGCCAACAAGCAGCAGGGGTCTTTTATTTCTGCTTTTGAAGGCTGTGGGGGAAATTGCGGAAAACGGACCAGGGAAATTCCGACCTGTTCCTGACGTCATGTGTTGGCCTTTCTGCCAGCCAATGCACTTGGGTTGAGTGGGTTCGGATAAGTGGAGTGGAATCCATGAAGTGTGTGCTTCAGTCAATAAACACGTTTAAGTCCCGACAAAGAATTCATACCATTTTATGAAGAATAAGTCAGTTTACTACTACATTACACAGGTTAATTATTAAAATATTATATATAGGAAAAGTTAAAAATAAATGCCATTAAATGGAAACTTTTTCATTGAATGTAAATTAATTCAATGAAAAAGTTTCCATTTAATGGCATTTATTTTATTATAAATAAAATAACATAGAATATTTGTATAATGATTGTTTGTTTAAAATAATAAGAAATTTACTTGATCCAAAATAAAATTTGGTCAAACTTTTTGTATTCAACATACATTTAAAATCCCTATAACGTTTTTCTGTGATATATAGCTTTTTATTCCACTTCCTTTTCGATCGGTATTGGATACCCTTAATCAGCGTTCTTTTGGCAGCTCTTCGACAAATATCTCCTCTCGTTATCCCATATCTCACATACGTATACTCCCAACATGAGATGGAAAGAGCCCATTAAAGCATCATTCAGTCAGTGACAGTCTCGTTTCGTTCCTTCGAATTTCCCATTTGACAGTTCATTTTGCAGTGAGTGACGTTTAACGGAAAACAAATAGCAGAAGTACAAAAATGCCCAGATGGAAATTTTAAAGGACAAAAAGAGCTGACAGTTGGCCCATGAAAAATGCAGAGTGCCCAAAATAGTTGAGCAAAAAGTGGGCTGCAAAGCGATGAGGCTTTTAATTGTTTTCCGAGTTGCGATAGAGTATAAAAGTTAAAGTAAAGTGCAATTTTTGTGTTGACACTTGTCTGCAGTGCTTAAAAAAAAAAATAAAGAAAAGGAAGACAAAATGTAGCTGCAACAATCAAAAGTAAATACAAATAACAAGTTTTGTGAGGCAGCCACTTATGCATGTCCCATGTCCCGAGTCCCAGACAAGATGCGACACTGAAAGAGACGGCATTAGTCGGGGAGAAAGAGACGGCAGGGCAGCCGACTGAAAACAACAAGGCAGACAGACCGTGACTGCACATAAGGAGCAGGCTCATCATCATCCTCATCATATGCAGCCGGGCAAAACAAATCCTTATGCCACTACATATCCTTGTGCGCTTGTCTATGCCCCGGCTTATGACCCCTCATTCGCCTTCGTCCTGCGTCCTTCGTCCTCTCCGCTTCCTGGCAAAGGGACAATGCGATTCTTCTGCACTTTTTCCTCTGCTCGCTCGTTTGTAAGTAAAATCCCTTTGGCTCAGCATTTGTATGCCCATCATAAAAAGGACAACAGGAGAGAGAATGAGAATCATTTCCCCCTTTCCTCCATTCGGAGTAGTTATTTAGGTAAATATGAATACGTGCATGTCTCTGCGAAATGCAAAATAAACCCAAAATGCACTTCCGCCTTAATGCGTTTTGTTTTTGGACAGGGGACAAGCCGAAATGGATATTAGTTTGGCTGATCCCGGGAAGCCCTGGTAATGCCAATCCCCCATAATTGCGTGTGCTACGACTGCGACGACCCCATAAACCCGGTTCCGGGGGTCACAGGGTGGTCAGGATCCAGAGCAGGGGAATGTGAGAAATTGCCGCAAGTTGGCAGCTTTTACGGCACGTACCCGACTGCTGCTCCCAATTTCCGCCAGAAATATAACACCAGCAGAAGTTCGCCTGGAAATGCAAAGTCCTGGCCATGCAATATGAATGGCACTCAGCATACGGAAATGATTTTGCAAAGCTGTGGGAATTGGACCTTAAATGGATGCTCTCTGGGGTTTCGATGTCAGATGTAACTGTTTAATTAGTAATTCTGGGCAATAATTGGCTAGGATTTTATGATTGCTGCTGCTAAAATTCTAATATTTTAAGCCGGAACATAAACTTTTTTAAA